TATATTAAGAACATAGATCGCAGTAGAAACAAAGTGCTAATGTTTTTTGAAGTAGTATATTTTAAGGATAATAGAGGAAAGAAATCCTTTTGTTTATACTCAGTGTAAAGCAAAATTGTACAGCACCTGATTTTGAGGAATCTAAGTAAGTGTATGTGTTATTGTGACATTAGTAACTAAAGTATGTGATTATGGAGTTAAATATGTAATCAGATCATTTTCTCATTAAAAATGAGTGTCTTCTGTGACTTTATCACTAATGCGAATATTCTTAATTTTTCAAGATCACATTCACACACTCACTGCCGTTGAGTCGTATCCAACCCATAGTGACCCCTCCTTGGGTTTCTGAGGTGGTATCACTATGGAAGTAGATTGCCCAATCTTCTTCCCAAGAGTGGCTGGTGGGTTTGAACTGCCAGTCTTCTGGTTAGCAGTCAAATGCATTAGACACTACACTGCCAGAGCTGCCTTTTTCGAGATATTTGACTCATTAAGAACTTGAGTTTTACACACACACAAGCACACACACCTACCTTATTAAGTAAGCTGCTGTATGACAGAAGTCCTCCCCTTGTGTGTCAGCTTATCTTACTTTGATAGCTTGTATGTTGCTCTGATATTGGAAGCTATGCCACCAATATGTCAAATACCAGCAGGTTCTCCTAAGGTAGACAGATTTCAGCAGAGCTTCCAGACTAAGACAGAGTAGGAAGAAGAACCTGGTGATCTTCGTCTTACAAAATTGGGCAGTGAAAACCTTATGAATAACAGGGGACATTGTGTGATATAGTTCTGGAAGATCAGCCCTTCAAGCTGAAAGGGACTCAGAATACTATGAGAAAAGAACTGCCCCCTCAAAGCAGATTTGGCCTTAATGAGGTAAATGGAGTAAAGCTATTGGAACCTTTCTTTGCTGCTTTGGCATAACTCAAAATTAGAAGAAACAGCTGCAAACATCCGTTAATAATCAGGACTCGGAATGTATGAGGTATGAATCTAGGAAAACTGGAAGTCATAAAAAAAAAAATGTAATACGTAAAGATCAGTATCCTAGTCATTGTTGTTATATGCCGTCAAGTTGGACCCCCTGACTCATAGTGACCTCTCCCTAGGTTTCTGAGGCAGTATCGCTACGGAAGTAGATTGGCCAATCATCCTTCAGAGGAGTGGCTGGTGGGTTTGAACCGCCAGCCTTCTGGTTAGCAGTCAAGTGCCTTAGGCACTACACCACCCGAGCTCCTATCCTAGTTATTAGTGACCTGAAATGGACTGGTATTGACCATTTTTAATCACACAAGCATATGGTCTACTATGCCTGGAATGACATTTGAACAAGAATGGTGTCTCATTCATCATCAAAAATAACATTTCAAGATTTGTTCTGAAGTACAGTGCTGTTAGTGATGGGATAATATCTGTATCCTATAAGGAAGACTGGTTAATTATGACAATTGTTCAAATTTATGCACCAACTACTAATGCTAAAGATGAAGCAATTGAAGATTTTTACCAACTTCTGCAGTCTGAAGTTGATCAAACATGCAATCAGGAGGCACTGATAATTACTGGTGATAGGAATGTGAAACCTAGAAACAAAAAGGATCAGTAACTGGAAAATATGGCCTTGGTGATAGAAATGATACCAGAAATCACATGACAGAATTTCCCAAGGCCTTGGAATAACTTATTCATTACAAATATGTTTTTTTCTGCAACATAATTGGTGACTATACATGTGTAGATTGCCAAATGGAATACATGAGAATCAAATTGACTACATCTCTGGAAAGAGACGATGGAGAAGCTTGATATTACCAAGGAGAACAAGGCCAGGGGCCTACTATGGAATACATAATCAATTGCTCATAAGCTAGTTCACAATGAAGCTGAAGAAAATTAACACAAGTCCACAAGAGCCAAAGTACAATCTTGAGTATATCCCACCTGAATTTCGAGACCATCTGAAGAATAGATTTGATGCACTGAACACTAATTACCAATGACCAGATCAATTGTGGGATGACATCAAGGACATCATACATGAAGAAAGCAAAAGAACATTAAAAAGACGGGGAAGGAAGAAGAGACCAAAATGGATGTCAGAAGAGAATCTGAAATTTGCTCTTGAACATAGGGAAGCTAACACAAACAGAAGAAATGATGAAGTGAAAAAACTGAACACAAGATTTCACACTGAAGCTTGAGAAGACAAAGTTAAGTATTATAATGAAATGTGCAAAGGCCTGGAATTAGAAACCAAAAGGGAAGAACAAGATGAAAGAACTAAAGAAAAAATTCAAGCCTAGCATTACAATGTTGAAGGATTCTATGGACAAAATACTGAACGATGCAGGAAGCATCCAAAGAAGATGGAAGGAATACACAGAGTCACTGTACCAAAAAGAATTGGTTGATGTTCTACTATTTCAGGTGGTAGCATATGATTAAAAAAAAAAAAAAAAAGGAAAAGAACTGATGATATTGAAGGAAGAAGTCCAATCTGCACTAAAGGAATTGGCAAAAAACAAGACTCCAAGAATTAAAGAAACACCAATTGAGATAGCTAATCGGACAGGGAAAATGATGGAAGCACTCACTGGTCTATACCAAGAAATATGGAAGACAGCTACCTGGCCAATTTATTGGAAGAGATTAATATTTGTGCCCATTCTAAAGATAGGGGATCCACCAGAATGTGGAGATTACCAAACATTCTCATTAATATCACACATAAGTAAAATTTTGCTGGGAATAATTCAAAACCATTTGCATCAGTACATTGACAAGGAACTGCCAGAAATTCAAGCTGTGTTCAGAAGAGGACATCGAATGAGGAATATCATTACTAATGTCAGATAGTTGTCACTGGTTTTGATAATTCATTGCAATGGCCACACAGAACTCACACACAATACTCAAGAATATGGGGTTTATTAGGGAAGTGACAGGTTACAATTCAGGATCAGAAACAACTCAGGATAGAGTTCTTCAATCAGGACAACCCCTTATCAGCAGTGCCCTCAGCCATGCCTCTCTCTGGCTCTTGGCTTCTCAGCCCTGTAGCTCCTTGGCTTCTGACTGTTAAAGCAAGTGTTGCAAAGCTCTTTTAGTTCTGTCAGTAAGTGCTTAGAGGCACCCCACTCCTCCAGTAAGCCTTCTTCTCAAGGTGCTCAGCCTTATCACTCCATGGGTCCAGAAGCCCCCTGCTCTGTCTCCTTCTGTGTCTCCTGCCAGGTCTCCTGGTTCTCCTGCCCCCATCTCTCTGCTACCTCTTCTCACAGTATCTCACTGTGTCAGCAAGGTCACAGCTCTCACTCTGTCCCCTGGGTTGAGGAGGTTCAAGACAGGGACCTCAGGTCCAAAGGACATACTCTTCTTTCTTAATGGTACTGAGATGCCCCCTTTCTTCCTCTGGGATAGCTCATTTTAAGCCAAGTGAGATGGCAAAACTGACCAATCCCCATGTTAGCATTCCATATACCTTATTTGCATAGGTCCACCCTCACAAGGGTGCCATACCTCTTATTAACATTATTAGCAAACTATTCTATCCCTTCGTGGGCCATAAGCACCTCACATTTGCATAGCCCCACCTATTTATTTGGTAAGAGTTACAAAGACTATGGCTGAAAAAAAATAAAAAAAATAAAAACTCACTGCCGTGGAGTTGGTTCTGACTCATAGCGACCCCTCCATGTGTTTCCAAGGTGGTATCTCTATGGAAATAGATTGCCCAGTCTTCCTTCCCAGGAGTGGCTGGTGGGTTTGAACCACCAGCCTTTTGATTAGCAGTCAAATGCCTTAGACACTATGCCACCAGACCTTCCAAGACTATAGTTCTTGTTGTTGTTATGTGCCGTTAAGTCATCTCCAACTCATAGCGACCCCTCCTTGGGTTTCTGAGGTGGTATCACAATGGAAGTAGATCACCCAATCTTCCTTCCGAGGAGTGGCTGGTGAGTTTGAACCACCAACCCTCTGGTTAGCAGTCAAGTGCCTTAGGTACTATACCACCAGAGCTCCCAGACTATGGCTAGAAGGGCCAAATTAAGGAAGTCATTGTAACGCAGGGGGTACAAAAGTTACAAGTCAGTTCATGGAGCCGAGAAAAAGACTTGCTGTAGTGCAGTAAATGAACTGTGTCAGATCTTCCAAGTGAGATTGAGCCACACAGCTGGTGCTTCTCAAAACCAGATGGAGATTCTTCTCGGGTTAGATTAGGTCCAGAGACTTTGTTCAGGAGGCTCTGCTCATAACCACAGCTGCTATCCTGCTTATTACTTTGCTCTGCAACATGAGGGGAAAAGTTACTCCTTTCTACTGTCTGGTAAATAGCAGGACACTTCTTGTTCTGAATGGTTTGATGGACTCTTGTGAAGCTTCTTAACTAAGAGAAAAATATGATGGAATTTGGATAGGTATTGTTTGAGATTAATACTAAATATATCATCTAGTTATATATGTCTACAGTCTCTGAATAATTTGCCTTTGCATGTTCCCTTTTTTGAAAATCCTACAAATTTTCCAGGAGAACCAAATGTAATTCTGTATTACCAATATGTAATTATATATGTAGTATCTCTCATGATACCCACTTATTGTACCAACAGATGGGGCCAGCACCCGTGGGTAAGGTCTGTTGTACATGTACTGCCTATAACAAATGAGTGTATGATGTTAGGGTAACCAGATTAGATGAGGCTGTCATGACCCCATCACTCATTTTTATATGCTTCTTCCCAGTTGTGAATCAGCAGTATTTGGAGGCCCTTGCAGTGCTTGATATCAAACAACAGAAGATAGCTCAGGAAAACATGTGCCATAGTGAAAGCAGCTGCTTCACAGAGGTGTCAGGTCTTGAGGTAAGTAAGCAGGTATGAAGGTTGAATAGCAAAGACATCGTCTCCTTTCCTTTTCTTTCCCCTCAGTGCCCTATTGGTACATGTGTTAGGGTAGCAGCATCCTTGGTAATTTGAGACAGAGTGAGGGAGGCCCCTGGGTCATATCCAGGTCAGTTCCCAGCATTGCTGGTATCATGGCCCTCATGCATGATGTTCTTGGACATGAGGGAATGTGCTTGCCACTTGCTGCTCCTTGGATTTCTTATTTTCACAGTTCTAGCAGAGGCTGTGTTAGTAGGCCTATAGTTGCAGAGTACTTTCATACACAGTATTTTATCTGATCTTTGTGAGGGCTGCAAAGCAGGTGTTACTATTCTCAGTTTAGAGAAGAAGAAATTTAGATTCAGTTAGGTGATATTAAGGAGTTCTAGTGGTACAGTGGTTAAGGCATTTGGCTCTAACCAAAAGGTTAGTGGTTTGAACCCACCAGACACTCCACAGGAGAAAGATGAGGCAATCTGCTTCCATAAAGATTTACAGCCTTGGAAACCCTATGGGGGTTACTATGAGTTGGAATCAATTCAATGGCAGTGAGTTTGGCTTTTTTGGTTTTAGGTGAGATTACGTCCCCAAAGTGACAATGACAATCTGTAAGCTAGGTTCAGAACCCAGATCTGCTGGTGTGTTGCTAACTTTTTCCTGGGGTTGTTATAGTCTTTCAGTGTAGGAGTTTGGCTAATAAGGCAAAAAGTACCCTAGTACTCCTAAGGAGTAAGAAGCTAACAGCAGAGTGAAAGGCACCATCACTCATTAACTGAGTTGTTGTTGTTGTTGTTTGCCATCGAGTTGGCCCCTAAGTAGAACTTTAAAAAGTGATCATTAGTAATAGCAAACACTTACATAGTCCTTACTAAGTGCCAGATTTTGTTTTTTTGTTTTTTTTTTAAAACCTGTAACATTTTATTTTTTAAAAATGAACAGCTTCAGAATAGATCTAAATGTAACTTTTCCAAAAACACCAAAAAGTACAGTGTAAAGCACCTCCTCATTAAATACAAACTTTAGTTTTGTGATGCACTGCATCAATGTTTTGAATACACCTTGATGCAAAGGGAATTTTAAATTGCATCCTATTTAAAAAAACAAATAACACAAAACATTAGGAACTAAAAAAGGATGACTAAAACCACAACAACTGCTAAAACTCCAACAAAGGAAATTTTTTCTCTAACAAACATATTTTTTGTGTATACACACACACACACACACACA